GAATTGAAGAATGTTGCTCAATGAATGTGAATTTCAAGAATGCCCGAAATTACACTTATTTTTTTCTAGTCTCTGAGTATGTATCTTTTGAATTCATTGAGGATTTTCTCGAGGTCAGTGTATATACAATTCTGACTAGTTATATGTCAATGAAAGGTAAAGATGAATTTATCAGAAAACAATGCACCAAAATATTTCATAAATAATTTCAGTAATTATCCCTTTTTTCAATATACTTGCCAGATACCGCATTCGAGTTTTCAGGCAAAAATGGATAATGTTATCATACGGTTTCCTTAACGATGGCTCCAATCACCACTAGACGTTCATTTATTATGATTTTTATATGATACGGTGCACCCTATACATATTTATAGACAAATTTGCAATTATTTGAAAGTATTGTAAAAACAATGTTATAAGTATTCGTAGTCCAATGATGTTATATAATTATTTATGGAAAGTAATAATGTGAAATGATGCGATTCTTGAAATTGGATGTTCAAAAGAGGACTTTTATGGTTCAATATGTTATCAGTGAGAACTGATAACAAATGAAGGAATAATTTGGCACGCTATTTGAACACGTTCTCATTTATATTTATAATCAGTGAAGTTGAATTATCTGATCCAATTCGAAGATATTCTCATAAAAAATTCAGAAATTTCTCCATTGAAAATAATATTTTTTATTGTTTCAAATAATAAGTAACTTAGTGATATCTCCATTTAAGTTTCATAATAAATCATTTGGTACCAATGAAATCCGAATGAAAACGATTTCCTTTCGATACGACCTTTCGTTATGCTTCAAATAATAGAAGTGAAGAAAATATTATATCATGTTCATTATTTCGAAATCAGTCACTCATCTAGCTCAATTCATTTCAAATTCCATAAGAACATTTCATTTGATGAGCATGATCCTCCTGGAACGAACATCCCAACACCGGTTTTTTTCTGTTTTTTGATTAGCGAAAGGCGCGTCGAGAGACGTGTTTCAGTGTTGTCAATAGAAAAACAAAAAGACACAACCGAACTTATGGGTGCGGCTAACAAAGTGCTCAAACAATATTTAAGGATTTCGTTATTATCTGCCACATATAAATCACCACCAAATAAACTAATCGTCTTCGTTAAGAACCTGGGTTTGTTTGGCCAAGTGAGAATAGGCGAGAGCCACAATAAACCCTTACGGGTTGCGGTGGAGAGTCGAATAGACCCACTCACTTTGGACCTAACCTAACCTATCTGCCACAGCTGGTATAGGCAGGTTAATGATACTTTATCAGGTTTATCTTATTTTTGTACCTCAAACACTCCCAAACAAAAATGTTTATGAGCTTTCGGGTGGTTTTATACCTGCAGTGGCTATTTAATAAATAAAAATAATGATTGGTTTTATTGATAGCTAAAAAAATAAAATGTATGGAATACAATACAAAATATTCTTCAAACACATCGCCGTTAATGTCTTCATGGTATATTCGCCAGAATAGTTTGACTCAAACACCAATAAATTACCCTCAATAAAACCATCAACACTTCCAACGTAAGTTGAAATCAGTCGTGTTCCTTTTGCAGAAGGCGACTTTAATACGGTAGACCAGCCTTCTACAAATGTTTGTGAACTTGTGATATTTTTGTCTTCTCACATATTTCCAACGGTATTTTCTTCGTTAAGTTGATTTTCGCCAAGATGATAAATTCTTCTATTCTTACGTCAAAACTATCTTATCTGCCTTGGGTAATGTCTATTTCAGCAGATGATTTCATCATTTCTGATGAAGCACAATTTTATGTTCTGTTTTCCAACTGAAATGCATTCCTTCAAAGTTTTTCACAATTTCTTTCTCCCTACCATCGAAGACATACTTTGGTTCTTTTTCACAGCTGCCATTATTTTATCGTGGGTCGGTATTTCTTTCCTAAAATGAATTGAATGTACTGTTCTTCCAATTTCAAGTTCGTAATTTTCACCAACAGATAGTCCTGCTGATTTCACAGCATCATTTTCTTTCTCATTTTTGAATTTACACATCGATGATTTCGAAAGTTCCGCTATTTGCAAACATTTTTTCATATTAACGATATTCTAAGGATTTTGGTGCAGATAAAGCATGTTTGCTCATTCATTTTACTGGATGGGAAATATTGTAATGCACACGCTAAGTATAATTTACTGATAACAATAATGATTAAGACGCAAGGGCTTCATCATCAATTAATATTCTACATGTAATAAAGTAACTGATTATCTACTATTAGATCTAATAGAATCATGATGTCTTCTTTTATCCAGCGAAAATTGAAAATATCTCAGGTATGCCTGATCAGGTTAACTGTGCAGGTATTTGATACATTGAACAGTGCTTTTCATAGAAAGTTTTGAAAATTTCAATAGAAATTCGATAGCAAAAACAATTTTGGGCAAAAAAAGCTATCAATTATTAATGTGAGTGTTCCATATATTTGTTACTCATCCTATACATACAACTATGTAGAGTCTTTTGACTTTCTAACCAACTCCATTATGTTCGCCTATGGAACAGCTACCTGAAAATGATTCATTTATTCGCTGCTTGAGGAAATAGACTAAAACCGTTTTTTTTTCTGGAACTATTTCAAAACATATCCTCCGTACACCAAGCTCAATGGATTTTATTATACGTACATTATACACTCGGGATGTAATTCTTCAATGAAATATGAAGGATTTATTATTTATGCTCAAACTATTTTCATTTGTTTTGCCTTTTTATTTATACCTTTGTTTTCAGTTGTGAAATTGAAATTTTTACTTTATTTGGATACGTTTTCAACTACCTGACAAAACACAGAAATTCAATTGGAATCGAAGAACAAATCTGTGTTTGTCTTTTTACAATCAACCTTTACCTGGAAGAACAGAAAATTTTCAGTTCAATGTGAAAGGCATATATTTTTCACAATATATATTCCATAATACTGTTGGTCGGTGGGTTCTATCAAGAAAGGCTTACTTACTGAATCAAAGACTTCATTCAATAACACAAAAATACAACTTTCATTTGATAACATTTCAAGAATTCAAATAGTGAAATAACTTCATCTAGACCGCTTCTTTTTGTCCGACTCCAAATTCGTGATCAGCGTGATCTTTATTCGCAGAGGATTTGGAAATCTGCTTTGCAACAGAAACTTTTAATGAGCTATCAGAATATTATTCTCATGAAGTGAAAGGGAAATATCTTCAGAAGAGATTAGTTTTTTCAGAAAAAAAAAACTTTTTGACTTCATACTTCTCATTAATTATTCATGTAAAAATATTTCGTGATATGTCCAAATCATTCAATATAATTGCAGTACATAAACCTCCATCCTAGTCTGCCAAAATCTTCATAATTTTACACTTAATACTTTTCTCTTTATTTTTAGCCAAAAAATTTTCATTATCCGTTATATGAATCTCAACATCCTCTTCAATGCTTCTCCCAGTCGTGGTACTGCAATAATGTGAACGAGAAAAGTATCATATCGATCAAAATAAACTAACACGAATATTTGCCAATGACAAATATTTCTCAGATTATATTTTTTCAGGAAGCACAAGAAATGATCATTTTTAGCTCTGTAACTATGAAATCACAGGCCATTCGCCAATAAATCAGTGATTTACTTAAAATAAAGTAAAAATAACAATGAAGTGAATTATGAAACATTTCTATATTTTAGATATAGTGATTTTTGACAGTTAATGAGTTTATTCATTTTTCATGAAAGGGATATTAGTAAAAGGTCATATATTGTAAGAGTTTAAATTTATAAACGCAAAAGACAAGATTGAATACCTGAACTTATTAGTTCAGGTATTCAAAGAAATTATTATTTCTACTAGAAAGAAACATGATCTGTATAGAAGAACAAAAAAATTTGTTTACTGTTAACGGAAATTATCATTGAGATTAATGAACAAAAAATTTCATTGTCGACAAAAATGGAATAATACTCCGCCACTGGGTGGATGAGTGCCGGGCGGGAAGATGATAATTATACATAAATTGAAATTGCCTAAATTTTTTCTATCAAATATTGAGAGCTCACCATTATTACCATAAGTAACATTGACAACAAACTGTAAGAAATACGCTGGAATTTTGAAAAACTAGTAAAGCTGTTTAGGGTTACATTTTCACTTGAAAAGGTTTACAGTAGCACGTGAATTTTTTATGAATAAACGATCAGGCATAGGTATGTTGAATTATTCGTAGATAGAACCCTATTTATTTCAAGATACCCCCTTCTAATTTGAGAGATAAAGTTGACAGCGCCACAACATTGTTTTTTCGCATGAAAAATGTTTTTTTTGTAAATTTTGTATGACTTTGACATCTAGTCCTGTTGAAAAATCTTCGAAGGGGGCTTTTTATGCCAGCACTGTATACAAAAGGTGTATTTACCTCTATCATTTCCCTGACAAATTCTTTCTCTTCTTCATCCTTCTCCGCACTAGATCCTTCACTGCTGATCACTTTGATCGTTGTGTCCTCAGATTTTACTGGAGAGAACGATACCGTTGTTTCGTTTGAATCGTGAGAAGTGTCTTCTATATCAGTAACCGTATCATTCGATTCCAGTTCCAATTCTGGAGTGGCGTTGACATCTCTTCTACGCCTTCCGAAAGATGGTTCTGAACGGCCAGGACCCATTGGACAGTAAGCTGGTTGACATCCATCTCTGCAAGTTCTTACAGTTGCTTCGAAAACAAGGAAGTTGGACTCCGGTATTTTAAAAGCATTAAATCTGGCCTCTAAGCTGTCACCATTTCTTCCTTTGTCCAGCTCCGGAAAAACGAAACTGTCCACAGGACATCTGGAATAAAAAAAAATTGCATTGAAATTTTGAACAGATATAATTCCAATTGAAATTATATTGAAAACAAACGAACAGTCCCGGCCTCGCACTGATGATAACTGCAGTAGCGTGTCAAAGTTATTTTCCGAGTATGTTGACCATGGTCTACAGGTTTTTGTACCTAATATTTTTTTTGCTGAAGTAGACGTTATCAAAGGCAATCAGCCGACGGATGAAAATTTCGGGCTGTTAAAGATATGTTGGAACATCCCAAGCACTTCGTTCGTTACCGCATTGCCACCAATGTTTACAGCAGTAGTAGAAGGAACTTCAGGCATGAAAACCTTCAGGTGATGACCGTCAAACCCGGAAAATATCTTTGATAGAGTTAGCTCCAGCTATGAAAGTTTGTACTTTTTGATCAAGTGCAGCAATGTTGATATTTTCTGATTGTGACAACTAAGAATACGTAAATTCATAAAATCTGTAAGTCAATAACTTGAACTGTTTCACGATTATTGTATCCATCGAAATTGCATCCGTGCGAAGCCTGTGTAGGTCTCTAGTAAAAATATTGAAATTGCAATGGTTACTATTTTACATATAAAACGTGTATTGTCAGGATTCTTATATTTAAGAAAAATAAATATTACGAAATGAAATCTAGAAACATTCAGCTCCCCGAAAGTAGATACACCGAAGGTTCTAGTGAATGTCTGCTAAAAACACCTACTTCCTCGGCTAATATCATGCTGTACATTGAATTATATCTGACAGACAGACATACCTCACAGAAGCGACTCTTGCAGATATAATCTCATTCATTCGGCAGCAGGACAATGCTGAAATCACTCACAGATCAGTTTCGAAATATTATCTCCTATCAGTGCAGGAAAGATCTGACTCAAACAGTAGTGTGTTTGGAACTCAATCAATTCAACAGGGCTCTACACCCCGCCTCAATCGGGAAAGAAAAATCCCATGTTTCAATCCCATGCCACAATCCCATGCCAGAAATCAAAAATAAGTTTTAAGTCTGTATCGAAAAGTCTGTATTTCGAAACATTCATCTCTCCCAAAGTACCTACACCGTAGTGATAAATTTCTGCTGGAAAACAACTACTTCCTGGGCTAATACCACGCTGTATATTGAATTATATCTGACAGACAGATATACCTCACAGAAGTGACTCTTGCAGATATATTCTCATTCATTCAGCAGCAGGACAATGCTGAAATCACCCACAGATCAGTTTTGAAATATTATCTCCTATCAGTGCAGGAAAGATCTGATTCAAACGGTAGTGTGTTTGGAACTCAATCAATTCAACAGGGCTCTACACCCCGCCTCAATCGGGAAAGAAAAATCCCATGTTTCAATCCCATGTTTCAATCCCATGCCAGAAATCAAAAATAAGTTTTAAGTCTGTATCGAAAAGTCTGTATTTCGAAACATTCATCTCTCCCAAAGTACCTACACCGTAGGCGTTGGTAAATACCTGCCACAAAACAACTATTTCCCAGTTAAAACCACGCTGGACATTGAATCATATCCGACAGACCTTTGTTCTTTGTTCACGAGGTGTAGCTTTTACTACTTTCTTTCTCCTAGACGAAGATTACATACATGGGGTTTTTCATTTTGTTCGAATATTTCAAGAACTGAATTTGTTTCAAATTTGTGATACGCTTGTGATATTATGCTGTTAGGTATGCTATACCAGGTGTCCCAAATGTGTCAATGTGCCCAATGTGTCCCAATGTGCCATAGCTAAGTGATACATTTTTTTCTGTAACTGAATTGTTTCGTCGAAGATCTCTCATGACGTAGAGAATATCAAAATAGCAGGTAATGCTCTGCTTCATTTCTATTCAGTCTGCTCCAAAAGTTACTTTTATTTCAGCGACTTCGATTAGAGTATGATATTTTTTCAAACGAACAGCCTGTATATTGGTTAATTGTATTTTATTTGAAATCACCTATCAGGCCACCACCATGTTAAATGTTGTTCCTAATATTTCATCATTTCACAACTGTCTACCTACCCATGTCTATCGATGAGCTGAACAGATCTACCAGAATACGGATCTCTCGCAACGACGTTTGTAGCAAATATGTCGGTAGCATAGTTGTAACCATCCTGCGCCTCCAGTCTGAAAGTAAGAGGATCTCCTACTGCTATCGTGGTTGTTGGTCGTCCTTGATAGAGGATCATCAAACGGACCTTTGAACTCAATGTGTTCTCTGCAGGAAGGTACTCTATGGGAATCGGACTGCCAGAACTGAAAAATATAGAAATAACTCACTCAGTCAATCATTATTTAGGTATTTGGTGAGACTGGTATGATGAAATAATTGATTAAATTAGATTTTGATCTAGAAGTAAACATCAATCACATGATATGTTCAGCGACATCTTTGTTTAATATTGTTTGATTATTGTTCGGTTCAGAAATGAGAAAAAACTAATTATTCGAAAGTTTCAATGTTCATTGTATCAGAAATTTGAATCTGTTCTGAAATGTTTTTTTATTTATAATGCTTTGCTGGAAATTGAATTGAAAACTCAGGAAAGAGAAAAACTAAATTATAGAAAAGTCGGTACTGCTTTTTCTATTTCGCCTTAAATCGTAAATATTTTTCATGTTATTTACTTGGTGTCAATTGCTTATGAAAGTATGAGGTAAAACTAATTCTAAGATTACATGAAGTTTAACAATCTGCTGAAATACAAATGTTTCCTTTTACAATAGCTTCGTCAGTGAATTTCATACTGGAGGATGAAAACGCTTGATGAGGATATTGTATAGCAAAACACATGTTGCGGTTTCGTGAACTGGTTAGTGGAAATCTTACTAGGAATATTTACTGAATAAGTTATAGATTTTCACCAAGTATCATCACATGAATAAATGCGTATGTAGAGCTGAAACATAGATCTGAAACTCAACGCACCCAATCAGTAAAGGAAATTGCAAATAACTACTGATAACTATCATAATAATGATCCTGAAAATGATAAGTTATCTATTTCCAAGTAACTATAATCGTTCACATAAATATTAATATAACTCCAAACCTTTTTGGGAATTGGTCTCACAACAAATTTTTCAATGACAATTTTTCTTTGTCGAAAAAACGTACAATTTCATTGTGTTGGTCATTATAGGCGTTAGGAATCACACGTTAAAAGGTGTCTTTGAGATATTTACTTTATTTATTCTACAGATTTTTCAACTCAAAAACACAAACACTTCATTCTTGGCTTCAAAAAATTATTGAAAAAATAATTTCAATGACTGTATCAAGGAGAGACTGAATGTTTAGAACTGAAATTTCAAAAATTCACCTCTCTCAAAGTTCCTACAAAGTAGGATCTCGTAAATGTTTCTCGGAAAGTCACTACTTCCTTGGCTGATACTACGGAGGACATTGAATTATATGCGACAAACATTTATGCAAGTTACCTTAAAGTCAGTGTAAGGAGGATCTTACCTAAACAGCAGTATGCTGGGAGTCGAATGACTTCGAATGTGGATCGAATTTTCTCCTTTATTCACGAAATGGAGCTGTTACTAGTTAACAAATCTATTTTACAGATGACTATCCTTTCACAAATGTCTGTCGAATATAATTCAATGTGCATCATAGTATCAGCCCAGGAAGTAGTTGTTTTCCGGCTAGCATTCACCAGATCTTTTTGTGTAAGAACGTTGGAATAATAAAGAATGTCAACGTATCGCTTAGTTCAGATTTCGTTCAAATTAACTTTCCAAAGTAGATGTAGGTAAGTATTGAAAATGATCTCTCCAAAACTATCGATAGTACAATAAAATTCGTTAACTTTGTCTAACTCATTTTAAAATTATGTACAATGAACGCAATGAATAATCAGCATTCGAATGATAATAATGATATGTTGAGAAATTGAAATATTTCGCGAACTACTATCACGAAATAACCTATTGCCTTCATTATTTATTATGAAACTCTCTAGAAAATTGTTTCGAATTCATTTATGTAGTCATTATTTTTTAAAAAATCGTCACTCAATGCATATCTAAGACGTATTCGTCTGTAACTTGCTCATTGTAAATTCATGACAGTGGCCAAGATGCAGAACAGGTTGAGGAACTAGTCTGTAATCCAGAAAAATACGTGGAAATCACTCTAAAACAAGTATTTTCTTTTGGAATCATCTGAGTTGGGACTAGGTATCAGATAAAACACATGAGAACGCTCTCAGTACCAAATTCACCGTTTCATGAAATTTTTTTGATTTTATATACCCAGATTTGCTAATAGATTATAAGGACAAAAGTATCTCAGTCATGGAATAGTACCATTGCTTTCGATTTATTTGTGATGATTTATTCGACTCTCGTAATTGTCAATTTTTACTCAAACCTTTCAAATGATATGTTTTTATGACTTTTATCAATGTACCTACACCAAAATTGATGAAGGTTGCTTATCGAATTCAAAAACTTTGAATCAATTTTCTTCAACAGGTACACTTGAATTACTTTTTCCATAAAGTAGATGGTTTCATCTAGAATTTAGTCTTGATAATGAAAGGTTTTCCGAAGTTTGAAAGAATAAAGTTTTCCTTGATAAATATACGTTGAAAAACTGAAGGAGAAGAAACATTATTACTAATAATAGTTTTGAAATAGAAAAAATTTTGTTTTCTATTATCAATAGAAAAATGTGGGAAACTTCCGAGATGGAAATAAATTTCAAAATGAATCGATGTCGTAGGAACGCTTCACAAAGTAATACAACATGGGCTGAGAAATATCGGCCCTAACACATAGATGACGCTAGTCTATTTGCATTCACCGCTTTTTCAGTTAATACTAACTTTCAAAAGAAAGCTGTTAAAATTTTTCTACATTCGTTATTTTTGAGATAATGGATTGAAAACAATTTCGTGTTTTAATTTGACACTGCCTCTTGATGGAAAAAAATACCGTTCAAGCGAAGCAATGGCTTGTAAAGTGATAGTGTAAAGGATAGTGTTCCATGTAGGTGAAATTTTATGTCAGTAATCTTTTGCTTCATAGGCTGAAAAGTCCCGGGTCTGAAAAAGAAAACGCGTTTTTTTGTTCAACGTAGTCATCATCAAGTACCACACCAACATTCTAGCGCCACTCTAACATTTCAATACCACTTTTGTAGAAGGATCTATCTTTTGCCTCATTAAAATCATCAGTTTCAGCAATAACCTATTCAGTCGAGCGAAATTTCTTGAGGTTCTTTCGTGTAATTCAATGTTCATGCGAAAGTAGTTTCTAAAAGGCTTTTTCTTCCAGTTTGTATTCGAAAAAAATGTTTGTGCATCTATGCATGTTTACGTAGAGTTCATTTTAAAGTTTATTTCTTTCTTTTTTCAGATTCCTATATTTTTTGTCAATGGATATTTATAACGCCAAAATGATTCTTTTCTTCTCAATTTAATATGAGAGTTGGTGAGATACTTCGACTGATACAGGCATTGATCTCGTGTTCTGCGTAAGTCTGATAACTCCCTGAGCCACTTGTGGAGTATCATGTCTATTCGCAAATATTTCGATGAAATGTTCTAATAAACAAATTATGCATTTAATTTTCAACTCAATTACCTAACTTCACAATGCAAGTATTTTCTCATTTAGAAATATACAGTCTTTTATTTTTAGGCAATATTTGGTATGAAATAAAAAGGTAACAATAAACAAAGTTACCATTGCTATGAGCGGTTAAACAAACATCCAACAATGGACTGATCCTCACCAGTACAGGGAACAAGATTGTTGTTCAGATGTAAAGGGCTTGAGGAATCGAATAATTCACTGTTGCAATGTCATGAGGAATACTTTAGATCTCTTTGAACATTTCGGAAAATCAATGACAAATCGAAAGTGGACTTCTTGCTCGTATATATCATGAATAAATTTATTTATTTTTCATTTGATGTTATCCATGGATAGTGTTTAGAATGAGTTGAAGAGACTTTTTGTCCCAAAACCCATGCTAGACATTAGGAAAACAAAAGAGACCAAAAAGTTGTATTACCAGTCGCCTGATCTATGTAAAATGAAAAACTATGAAGAGCAAGGCAACATATGTTCATAAACGGTTTGTTCTACTGTACGATGAAAAAAATTCTGTACATAAATTATCAATATTGATTTTTTTCATTGTGTACAGTATATCCATTCAATCACAGCTCAATTCATTTCACGGCCAGTCAATCGAACATTACGGTCCCTGATAATACAATGTACCTAACAATGAAGTTTCAGTTTCGATTTTAGACCAGTTTTTACTCAAAAATGATAATTAAAAATTTTACTAAAATATGTACAAAATGTATAAGCTATGTACACCATTTCTGTCATAATGACGATAACTGAGAGCATAATAAAGATCATATACAATTATTACGAAAGTAGGTACTGTGCGCACTCTCTAATATTCATTAGGAAAAAATATCCACTGCTTTAAATATATTCAACTACTCTTCAACCAATCCTAATAAACAAATAATGTCATGTTAATATGAAACAGTCTACAATTTACGTTTTTATACTATTTAGACTTACTGAAACTAGTAATTTTTATTTCATTTGAATCTATATCTATTAACACCGTTCAGGCACTCATGAAATACATTTTTCTATCAACTTTATTGAATGAAAAATATCTTATCCAACCTTATATTTATTGATACCTATTGATAATCCTCAGGTTTATCTATTTGTGAAACTGAAATTAGTACTATCATTTGATTTATTCATAATTTTGAAAAAGACAGAATGAAATGAAATATACAATACATGTCTGCTATAGGTGTTACTATAGCACTCCTTTGTATTCAAACAACTCGTACTGTAATAAATCATTTATCGGATTCATAACATAAAATACTATTTCGAGGTTCAGGCCTCGTCTGTAATGTTTTATTTTCAATTAATTTCTGAATTTCTTTATCTAACAATTGAGAGCATTTGCTTACCCGGCGCCAATGAAACCTGACGATACTACAGCTTCTCCTGGTCCTCGGAATAGGCAAGTGAGATTGAAACGTTTATCTTTTCCTGTTTGAACGTAATCGCTGAACTGGACTACAACAATATTAGTCATAGTGTCGGCATATCTTTGCGTGCCACATTCGGGATATCCTTGAGCTCCGCTGATGCGAAGGACATTTATGGTGCCACCATTTCCGCGGAAGAAACATCTATCATAGAACCCGTAGGTGTAAATTCTTCCATAAAATCCTTCTGGAGTTCGTAGGGTGAATTCCATTCCATCTTCGTTACAAATTTGGCTCACTGGGAAAAGTAATGACACACGTTTTAGTAATGACAATGGATTTATTCAAAACGTAATAACAAATTGAATCAGTAACATGTATTACCATCCAAGCAGTCTCCATCTATACCCTGTCGACTGAGAGATCGTTCGTAAAAATCATAGTTTCCGGTACTATCAAAGTACTGTGGATTGTTCATTTCCAGGTCCCTGGAGTCTCTGTCCGCTAATTCACAATTTTCTCTTTCTCCCTCGTATCCTCCTGGTTGAGGGTCTCTGTAATATATGAATGAATAAAAATACTCACCACTACAAGTGGTAAATCATACGGTGGTAGGTATTTTGAAATGTATACTTTTTCTAGTACTCGTAAGACTTACCTATAATTGAAAGCTCTGCATATAAAATCTCTTGACTCTACGCATTCCTTTTCGCATGCTCTCAATGACGGAGCGTAAAGAGTTCGTTTAACAAATTCCTTGCGCATTCTCATATGCAATCCCAATTGTTTAAAATTGTCTCCTTCATCACATCTTGAACTATAAGGTCGATTTGGTCCTATTCCGCCAAAACTATCATATATTGGTCCATCGGGTCCAGGTGATATTGGTCTATATGGACCTCCTACTGGCCTCCTTCCAGGAACTCGATCATTGTATGGGCGGTCAACGTATGGTCTGTCATTATATGGTGGTCGATCATTGTGTGGTCTTTCAGGTCTAGGGTCAACAGGACGACCAGAGGGTCTTCGATCGGGTCTGAAGAACCATTTGCTTCCCCCATTCTTATCATCACCATAGTAATCGTAGCGATTGCCATTATATTTATCACCATATCTGTCACCGTATCTGTCACCATATTTATCGCCATATCTATCTCCATATCTATCTCCATACCTTCCTCCATAACCATCTCCATATCTGTTTCCATATCTGTTTCCATATCGAATTCCATAAAGTTCATCACTATCACCATATCTCCCTCCATATCCTCCATATTTTTCACCATTTCTGTCCCCATATCTATCATTGTTTCCTCCATATCGTCCACCGAACCTGTCTCCGTACCTATCTCCATATCTATCCCCATACCTATCCCCATACCTATCCCCATATCGGTTCCCGTATCTATCTCCAAATCTGTTTCCGTATCGATCGCTATTTCTATCTGCCGGCGGATACTTCTCCGGTTTTGCATTAGATGAAGGCGGATAATAAGGATATCTGTCGTAGGGTTTGCCGATTGGTTTGCTACCAGAAGATGGGGGATATGACGGTGGAATGGGATATTTCCCGCCACCACTAGATGAAGGGGGATAGGCTGGTCCAATTGGATATTTCCCACCACCACTAGAAGACGGTGGATACGCTGGACCAACTGGAAATCTACCGTTTCCCCTGTCAGGAAATTTGTTATCAGGATATCTCTCTGGATATCTCTCTGGATATCTGTCTGGAAATCTGTCATCATATTCTGGATATCTATCGAATGGGGGTCGACCACCAGGGGGATGTCTATCGTCATAGCCGCCGCTGCTGGGAGGGAATTTTTCAGGATATTTGGGAGGATATCTTTCGCCGGTACTACCTCCACTTCCTGGTGGATATCTACTTCCTGGTCTGTATCGATCACCTCCTGGATATCTGTCTTCTCCTGGTCGATAGCCGGGGCTGCTATTATCTTCAGGTCTCTGTCCTGAACCTTCTCCTTCACCACCAACTGAAAACGTAAATTATGGAGAATGTGATTCTATCCTGATGTTTAAAGTTTTTTTTTCTAAAGAATTATATTGAGCACTAATTCAAGAACATGTTATTTTATTATCGAGTAAATTACGTAATGAATTATCTTCAGAATTGGCTGATTCTCATTTTTTTGAACTGAAATTTATTGAATTCCTGGTTATGGGTACATTTTTTCTGATATTTTGGAGCGGTACCTAATCAGCTAGTTGAACTTTTTCGAAAAATTTATATTAGTTCATGTCATCATAATGCAATTCACAAATGAGCAATGTTATTTATTCATCGAACAATTGAATTAGTTAAGAATCGCTAAGGGCACTTGGAAGGTAACCTTCCAAATACTTTTGAGTGAACAAGATTGGAATATTCAGTTTTAAGTCATCTCTTGATAATGTTAAATTGGTTAGCAAATCGCCCGCCGAGAGACAGTATTCTTGTTCTAGCAAGAAGAAAGTTTTCTCAATAGTAAATTGGAATATGTTTAGGCTGAATTGCTCATTGAAATGGATTCTAGTCGGCGATAAAATATGGAACTCGTTTATAATTCAGTGTCACTATTTTTCGGGTCGAAGGTCGTGGATTTTTTAAAATTTTTTCCTGACGTTTCGCTGACGTGAGTGGCTAGCTTCTTCAGATATTTATACATCTTGTATTGATATAAACTTCTGAAGAAGCTAGCCACTCGTGCCAGCGAAACGTCAGGAAGAA